TGCCCGTGGGGGGACCTGTGGTGCGCGAGGAGGAGGAGGGAGAAACTGTGGGCGGGGAGGGCGTCGTGGCAGAGATGTGAGGTCGGCTGGGGGTGATTGCCGAGGTGGTCTCAGCAACCGGGGTCGCAGTTCGTGAGGTGGTGGGCTTGGGGGTGATGGTAGTGGAAGCAGGTGATGTGGATGGGTGAGGCGCTGTTGCCGGCGGCCGGGACACCAGGGGAGTAGTGGTTTTGGCTGTGCTGATGGAGTTGGTGGGAGGACGGGTCTCACTGGTGGTCTTGGTGAGTGACAGCGTGGAGGCTGTGGGCTGTGTGGCTGTGGTAGGCAGAGAGGTTGCCGTGGGCGATGGCCTGGAGGGGGTAGAGATGATCGTTTCGGTGGTCCGGGTGGTAGCTCGCTGAGAGGTGGGAGTCACCGAGGAGGTCTCTAATGGCGGGAACCGAGTGGGAAGCGTAGTCTGCGTCGATGGTGTGGTCGTTGGTCGTCCCGTTGTTGTGCCTGTTGTCTGCGTTGGGGTCGTCGTCTCTGTGGGAGGTGGTGTCATGGTGATTCTCATCCACCCGTCCGATTTTCCCAGCATTTCCCACCTTGATGGTGTGAGTTTACCATCTGAACCTGGTTTTTTCATTTTTTTTTTTTCTGGCTCCTGAGGGAGCTTGTTTTCGGTCCAGGTTCCTGGTTCGTCAGTTCTCTCATCCTCCCCCTACCCATTTTCTGTCTGCGTCTTTCCTCTCAGTCCTGTATGGTCCTGTGCACCTTGGCCCTCTGGTTTGATGCAGCATCTGATCTCTTTGAATCTCTGTCTCCTTGAAATGCAGCTAAAGCCCCCTACGTTCTCTAACCCTCTGATCTTCTGGAAACATGTTGGCCCTTCTCTAAGAAGTCCTCTGCTGCGCCTCTGTCTCGTCTCTTGCCATCCCTTCAGCTCCTTGGAACTGCCCTGAGTCAGTGTCCTCACAGCTTCAGCTCCCTGAAGTGCTCCCCTCATCCACCTTCAGGGGTGGGGCAAGCTTGTGATGGAGCAAGCCATCCAGCAGGATACTCACCGGGGCTGGGGTGCACTGTGCTCGTGTGGGGCCTGGGTCCTGTTGCTGTGGGGTGCAGGCAGGGAGAGAATTTGTTAGCGGGCGATGGTCTGAGTTGGGGCTGTGCCTAGCATTGCCTGGAGGCCCAGTTCCTCCGTGTGCTCCCGGGACAGCTTAGCCTTCTGCCGTGGAGCCTGGCCCTCGTGTGTTGACGGGGCGGGGGCCGAGCATGGCGACTGCCCAGCACACACGCTTACCTGGCGGGGTCCTTGAGGTCTCCTCCTGTGTCTCCAGGGTCACTGTAGGTGCTGTGGTGCGCTCTGTGGTCTCAGCTGTGGTCTGTGTGGCCGCGCTGGGGCGTGATGCTGTGGACTGGCTTGTGGCATGGGTCACCGTGGGTCTAGTGGCCGTTATACCCCACGTGGATGTGGGGGTTGGTGCTGATGTGACCCGCGGGCTGACGGCCGTGGTGCTTCGAGGTGATTCTGCAGAGGAGAGCCGCCTCGAATGTCTGCACCAACACCTCCAGTGCATCCAGTGGCACCCCGTGCCCCCTCAGGGCCCTCCGGGTATCTGCCCGAGTCTCCTGTCCCAGCGCCCTCCTCCTCATGCCCCCCTGGCCTGGTGCCTTCCGGCTCCTTGTCTGTGGAGCATCGGTGGCCAGGCTGACACTCGAATCAGCCAGCTGCGTGGCCTCGGGCAGGGTAGTGACCTACACTCCTGTCCCATGGCAGCCACGTTTCCCTGCCCACCTGCCCTCGGCCAGCCAGGTGGGCTAATGCCCTGTCCCCTTGTGGGCCCCGGGCCTGGGGGTGCTGCTGTATGGCGGTGGCTCGTCAGCCCCCAGCCCAGACTGTGCACACACTCTCTAGCAACACTGTCAGGTCTCAGGGCATGGCCACCTCCTGCGGGCAGCTTCTCCTCTTGAAACAAATCCCCACAAAGGGGCGAGGACCCGGGAGGTGCCGTACCCGCTGAGGAGACAGCTGGTTTTGTCTGGGTGGTGGGGGCCGTGTCTGTCCGTGCAGAGGACGAGGCCTGCGGGCTGGTTGTCGGCGTGGCTGGCAGGCTTGGTGTCACTGGAGGAGTGGCCGTGGGGCTCGTGGAGGGTCGGGCAGAGCTGAACAGCCCGCTGGTGCTGGGGGTCCGTGTGGCGGGCGTTGTGGGCTGGGCTTCTGTGGAGGTCCGAGCTGTGGGCACCAGGGTTGCATCATTACTGGGCAGGGCTGGCTGCCGCACCCTCTGGGTGGCAGCCCCCTCCCGCTCACTGAGCCCGGCTGTGCCGTCCTTGGGTTTGGGCAGGGCCCTCGCAGGGCACCTGGGACTCACCTGCAGAGCCCTGCTTCCTGTCCTAGGGCCGTGCAGTGCGGCGGCCGGGCCGACTGCTGCCGCTTTGCCTTCTGCCACCCTCCACCCCCACCTGAAGCTCAGCACCTGCTGCTCTGCACCTGGGCAGCCCAGGCGCACTCCCCACCCCACTACCAGCCCCCCTCCCCTCCACCAGCCCGAGGAGCTGCATGGATAGCAGTGAGGGGCCCTGAAGCTTCGGCTTGTCAGGGTGTCCAGCTGAGCCGGGGAAGAGCCCCTGGGGGGAGAGAGCGCCTTTGTGGCTGCAGTCACCTGTGGTGGGCGGTGGAGTGGTGGCGGTCAGGGCTGCAAGGGAAGGAAGCTGGTCACGTGTGCTGCAGACGGGCCCACCCTGCCCCTCCAGTCCCTCTGTGGGCCTCCCACCCGGCCCCTCCCTACTTGCCCTGGCCACTCCCCCGGCCCTGGCCCTCCCCACATGGCCCGGCGCCTCCCCTGTGGCCCCCAGAGGGTGCTGCAGGCCGCACTCACGGCCACTGTGTGGCAGCTCCAAGCCTCCTCACAGAGGACCCACCCCCTGCACCCCAGACTAGGCCAGGCGAGTTCAGGGTCTGGGGCTGGAATTCAGCCACTCTGGCCCCCGCTCTGGCCCCAGTGGCTGTGTGTGGCAGTGGCTGGGTGGGGAGGAGGGAGAGGAGGCGCGACTGGGCTGTGTTCCTCTGCTGGTTGGTCAGCTCCCAGGCCTATGGAAGCCTCAGCCCCCAGGAGGCAGGGTCCCGGCACAGCAGGCATCTGGAGACTTACCACACGGCACGCACGCGCCCTCACTGGAGTCGAAGTACTCGTCCTGGGAGCAGTTGTAGCAGCCTAGGGCAGAGGACGCCGCCGCTGGGGCGCTGGGGGTGCTGGGGGCCCCTCGCCCCCTCGCCTCCTCCTGCCCCCCGCCCCCCCACTTGCCCCTGAAGACGGGCTCTATTGCTCCTTTATCTTGTGTTCAGGCATCTCCCCGTGAGGGAGTGTTAGTGCCTGGAGGGCAGGGCTGTCTGTCCGGTTTGCTGATGGTCCTCTCGCTAAGCTAGCTAGAACGGGCCGGTGCCCAAGCAGGCTCAGGGGACGCTGGCTGGACAGACGCGTGGCGCCTTGTACCTTCGATGTTGCTTTGCGGGTAGCTCTGCAGTGCGTCGGGGCAGAGACAAGGCTGGTAGTGCCACGTGCAGTCGTCCTCCTGCACGTACTCGTACTCGCTGCTCCCGTCCACCCTCGTGTGGGTGTTGTAGAAGCCGCAGTAGACAGCTGCGAAGGAAGGACACTGGAGGTTGGCCGAGGTGCCCTGGGGCCCCGGCCTGAGCCAGGGCTAGGTGGAGGCCGCTCTGGGCCTGGGGGCAGTCCCGGTGTGTCAGGGCAGGGAGCCCGCCCGTGGGTGTGAGGGGCGGGGCCCTCCAGGCAGAGCATCTCCCAGGGGCCCTGGGGTGGCAGAGGTGGCACAGCCCGGCGCCGCCCGCTCCCACTCGCCCCAAGACACTCACGGCAGAAGTCGGGGGTCCTCCAGTCCACACACACGCCCTTGTCCAGACAGGCCTTGGCATAGGCGGCCACCGCGTCGCACAGACACTCACAGTCCCCACCCGTGTCACACCCACACGCGTCGCGCACGCAGGCTTCATAGTAGGGCATGTGGTACACCTGCAGGTGGCCGTCGAGGTTAGAAAGTGGGTGTGTGCCAGCCCGGGTCCCCAGCACCCTGTGAGCCACAGAGATGTTCACCACCAGGCCATTACCGCTGTCGCCCACCAATGGTGACCGCTCTCGGAAGAGTGCTTGATGCCCGAGTCCCTGTGCTTCTGACCCCCTGCTGACGGTGGCCACAGAGACTTCTGAGCCCTCCCCACGCCCACAAAGACCCCCTGTTGGGGCCAGGGCGCAGCTAGTGACCGGGCGTCTCCAGTCTGTGACGGGGCCCTCTACACAGCACTTGCTCCTGTGGGGCCACCTCACGCCTGCCTGGCCTCCCCTGCAGCTGGACAGGACTGCCCCCGGGGGGCATGTGCTCATGTCCGGGGAAGCTCCTGGACACCCCCACTGCAGGGCGATGTGCCTCCGTGTCCACAGAGCCCTTGTCTAAAGTGGCGTTCCAGGCGCCCTCCACGTCACCCCCGTCTCTTCCTCGCAGCACATATCCTGGCCTCTCGCTTGCTCACGGGTGCCCCCCAGCAGGCTGTGAGCCCCGTGGTGGGAGTGCTGTCCACCCTGGGGTTGGGTGTTGGTGGGCACATGTGGGCCAGTGGGGGTGGGCCCACAGATGCAGGCCCATGCCAGGCACCCAGCACGTGTCGGCTCTCTGGGGCCTGCTCGGGGTGCAGTCACCTTGTGGTGGGGGGCTGGGGTGCCCCTTCCAGCTGGGGCTTTCTTCCCGTGCCTGGCCCCTCACCACTCACTCGCTCCCCCGCCTCGGGGCCCCTCCCACACCCCCCTTCCCCCTGCCAGGGCCCCCCCTTCGGCCCCCCCACCTTGCTGTGGCAGGCCGCAAAGGTCTGGCTGTTGATGATGCTGCACTTCCGCTCGGCCCAGGATTGGCGGAAGGTGTTGAGGCTGCAGGGGTCGACCACGAAGCTCACGTCCCCGCACAGGGGGTTCTCCTTCCACGAGTTCACGAACTCCAGCTCGCTGGAGGCCACGTACATGCTGCGGGTCTCAAAGTCGTCCTTCATGTTCCCGTTGTAGTTCCCGCACAAGCCGCAGAAGGCGTCCTGGAGGACGGGGCGAAGCTCAGGCCCCGCCCACTCATCCAGGCGTCGGCCAGGCCCCGCCCCCAGCCCACCAGGCCTGCTCTCAGCCCCGCCCCTGGCTCCTCTCCAGGCCCCGCCTCCACTCCGCCCCATCCGGGCCCCGCCCCATCCAGGCCCCGCCCCACCACGGCCGCGCCTAGGTTACCTGCGCGGAGGCGCGAGAGACCTTGATGAGGACCATCATGTGCTTGTTCCAGGTGAGCGTCAGGTTGTACTTGTCGGCGATGTAGATGTCCAGCACGAGGTGCAAGGAGCTGGGCTGCACCTGGAAGCTCACCTGGGGGTCGTATCCGCCGACCGTGTAGGTCTTGTCTGCCAGTACGATGGACAGTGCCTGCGGGGCAGGGCCGTCAGCGGCTGCCGGTACCCCGCCCGGCGCGCCCTGCCCGCGAGCCTGCAGCTGCCTCCACAGGACGGACCTGGGTCCCTGCCCTCAGAACTTGCCGCCGGGAGGCTCCGGCACCACCAGAAACGCCCCGGGGCTGAGGCTCAGGCCTCCCGGAGAAGCCTCCCGGCTCCGCACCGGCGCCTCCCGGAGACGGAACCCTCAGCGTGTGCCTGGCCGCTGAGCGTGCAAACACCTAGACTGGAGACCTGCCTCCGCCCCGAGGCGCCCAGGACTGTTAGGACCCCACGGTGCCGACTAGGCGGCGGGGCAGAGACCGGGAGGAGGGCAGAGGCTGGGGTCCCCAGAGGTCTGAAGGGGGAGGTGGGGAGGGTCGCCTGCCGCTCACCCCCAGGAAGAGCTTGATGGCCCGCGAGCACGTGACCCCCGTCTCCCCGCAGATGACGTTCTCAGTGACGATTTTAAAGGTGGGCTGCGAGTCGTTGGCGCCACAGCCGTCCTACCGGGAGTGGAGCGCGTTGAGGAGGAGCCCGCGGCTGCCCGCCCCCCCCCCGCCCCCCGGGGCCGGCCATACAGTGGTCAGGGTGTACTCGCAGTTGCCGTCGAACACAAAGCGCTGCCCGTCGAAGGTGATCACGTGGCCCTCCCCGTAGAGAGTGCAGGTGGAGGCGCAGCCGGCGCTCTGCTCGCACACCCACTTCCCCTGCTTGCAGATGCTGCGGAGAGGAGGCCGGCTGGGGGCGGGGCGCACATCCAGGCTGGCCCCTGACCTCCCTGGGGGCCTGCTCCAAACTGGCCCCAGTGCCAGGGTCCTGGCGGGGTCGGGTCTCCTGCCTTGAGGCCCCCACTGCCCAGACCGGCGTCGGCCCCAGAGGCCCCAGGGGCCCAGTGCTCTAGGCCGAGGAGGTGAGGGTGCCGCTTACCACGTCTGACAGTCAGTGTTGAGCTCGGCGCCCGGGGGGTAGGAGGTCCCCCCAAACTCACAGGAGCAGTTGTCGGCTGGCACGCATTGCCCGCTGGCATCCTCGTAGAGGCCCTCGGCACAGACGCAGCCAGCTTCACACTTGGTGGGGACCTGGGGGGAGGGCAGGGGTACTCTGAACGTGGCGGCCCGGCCCCACAGGCCCCTTCAGGGACCACCACCCCCAACATTCCTCCAGGACTGCCTGGTCCTCTTCCTGTGCCCACCCTCACTGCCGCTAGTGCTCTGGCATCTCGGAAGCAAAGGGGCTTTATCTTAGCAGAGCTGAACCTCCTCCCTTAGGGATCCCGGCAGGGGGTGCTCCCACCCACACACAGTCAGCCGACCCTTTCCAGGCCAGCAGGGTAGCCAGGACCCACGGAGCCCCACAGAGGACACATATGTCCCCCAGCTGCCAGCCACCATGGCTGCTCAGGATGCACCCCCTTTCACACCGAGCCCTCCCCCACAGCCTGGTCATGGAGACAGAGCAGGGACACAGACAGGCTGCCTGCATGAGCCCCATCTTTCCTGAGGATTTTGTGCAAATCTTCCAGGGCCCCATGGAGGGGCTCCTGGGCCACAGAGGCTGAGGAATTGTCCACCGGGGCTCGTCCTCCGGGGAGCATCGACTGCGGGGGTGTCCACTGGGGCACATCCGCTGGGGAGCGCTCGCTGCAGGGTGTCCTGAATCCCCTAGAGCAGGTACACTGTGGGAGTGGTGGCTCCGCCCCCCAGCCTTACACAGGCGATGCCGGTTGCCAGCATCTGACACGTGGGGGCACAGGCCGCCCCAAAATTGCTGTCTGAGGACTGGCTGCAGGACTGGAAGGTCTTTGGGGCTGTGCAGGTGGCTGTGGGAAGAGGAGGGAGCCCAGTGGTCAGACAAGTTCAGGGGAGGCTGCCAGTCCCCCACGGCCCAGGCACGGCCTCCTGCCAGTACGTACCCAGGAGCATCTGAGGCTTGCGGGAGCAGGTCAGCCGTCCGCTGATGCAGTAGCTGCAAGAGAGAGGCTGCGTGAGCCCCCCAGCCCCAGAGTGTGGGGGTACAGCAGGCTAGGGTGTGTAGGGCCCCGCCCACTGGGCCGCACCAAGTGGCGCCGTTGACAACCGTGGACTGGCCGGCCAGGATGATCTCGTGGCTGTCCAGCTGGCAGGGGCACTGGGTTCTGCGCACACACTCCTCCTTGTGGTTCAGGTAGGTGCCCTCGGGGCAGTTGCAGCCGTCAACGGGCACCGCGCTGGGGTGGCACTCGAGTGTGCGCTCTGACAGTGACATGCAGGTGCGGTCGCAGGCCTGGCTGTTGTAGCTGAATGTTCTGTTGCCCGTGCAGGGGACGCCTGTGGGGGTACGCCAGTGAGGCAGGCCCTCCAAGGAGCCCATGCCCAGGGGAGGGGCCGGGGCCGTGGGGGGGTCGGGCAGAGCTCGGCGCCCCAGGAGCCCCTCTCAAGACCCAGAGACCCTCGGGAGCCTGGGGATCCTTCCTCATGACCACGGGGCCTCCCGGATGAGCCCAGGACACTCCCTGGGACTCCGGGAGGCACTCACTGCAGTTGTCGACGCTGCTCCTCCAGTCCCAGAGCAGGACGCCCCGGGAGGCACATAGGTAGGCGTAGGCACTCAGGGCAGCACAGATGTGGGGGAAGGTCTCCTCGTAGTTGCATGCCTGGTAGACACACCTCTGCGGGAGAGACGGAGTGCTGGGCTGGCGAGGGTGGCTGGGGCGTCCTGCCCACCCCGGGACACTGGGAACCCCAGACCCCTGACCCATCCAGGAGCCCTGAGCGTGCAGAGATGGCCCTTCCAAACACCTGCAGGGGCCCTGCCCACCTTGTAGAAGGGCCTGGGGTTCACCACCGAGTGGCACTTCTCGAACACGGAGCCCTTGTTCACCAGCACCGAGCAGTGAGTCTCAGCGCACACCTCTGGGGAGACAGGCCGGCCGGTGGGTCTCCTGCCCCCCTGGCACCTCCCCTCCTGGGGACCTCCCAGAGGCGGCTGATGTGGGCGGACAGGCGCTCTCACTGTTGAGCTGGCTCATGGAACAGGGGTCCGTCTCGCGCTCGAGCGCTGTTGGGCAGTTCCCCGCCCGCCAGGAGTCCACAAAGAGCGAGGCGGTGCCCTCGGCGATGCCCATGCTGGTCGTGAAGTCGTCCGTTGTGTCCCCGTTGAAGTTGCCGCAGAGCCCTGGGCAGGCCGGCCGTGAGGGGCGGGCTGGCGGGTGTGTCGCCTGTCCCCGCCCACATGCACCCCTCACGTGCACAGAGCCACCCTGCATGTGCCCGTGTCCCCGCCCTGGTCCCCCCCCCCCAGGCACGCACCAGCGTCCTCCTCTCTCAGGTGTCTGGGGTCTGGGCGTGCCCTGGTCGAGAGGCCACGAGGGGCGGCTCCTCTGTGAGGCTAGCCCAGGTCAGCAGGGGGGACCACGAGCTCCCCAGGTGTGGAAGGTTGGCGCAGGGGAGTCCAGTGGGACCCCGTCTTCTCCCTGGCCCGGCCAAGCCAGGGAGGGGGGACGGGGGAGGGAGAGCGCACCTCGGGTCTGGCCCCTGAACTGGGGCTCCACGGTAATGTATGCCTGGAACACAGGCTGCAGCTGGATCATGAGCTCCAGGCCGAAGTCAGTGGCCATCTGGAGGTGGGTGGACGTCTGTCTGAAGATCGTGATGTTGCCTGGAGGGACAGTGGCTCAGTGACTGTCTGTCCACCCCCCCCCCGCCCCCCCCCCCCTCCCTATGCCCTGGTCTGGCGGTTGGATCTTGTACGTGCTCTTTTCGGCAGCCACTTCACCTCTCCGTTATTGGTGATCACCTCGTCTTGAGAAATCACGATTTTGTCCTGGAGAGAAGACAGACTGAGTCACGGGGGGCTAGGAGTGGGGTGGGAGCCCCGGGTCCAGCTTCTGCGTGCACGGGACGAGGTCAGGAACGGGGACGTCGCGGACCCGCGTGGGGGTGAGCGGCGCCTGCAGGATGGGGATGGCGCGTACCTGGCCGGACAGGTAGATGATGGCGGCTAGGGAGGTCTCCGAGTGTGAGTAACCTGACTTGTCGTACACGGCCATGAGGGAGCCCTCTTCAGGGAGCTGGTGGCTCTGAGGAGGGGCGGCCGCAGCTCAGGGGCGAGGCTTCCGGGTGCCTCCCCCTCACCCCCCCGACCCCTCCTCCCTCCCTCCTCCGGCTGCCTCTTCCTACCTGGAGGAGGATGTAGGTGCAGGTGCCATGGAAGCGGTAGGGCCTGGCATCGAACGTGGTGACGAAGGAGCCGCCTTCCAGAGAGCAGCGACCGGGACAGGGCTGATCCGTGCATGTCCAGAGGCCGTCAGTGCACTGGCTGGGGTGGGGCGAGGGGACCCAGACAGGGGAGGAGGGTTGAAGCCAACAGCACCCCTGTGTCCCCCTGAAACCCCTCCCCCTCCCCGCATCTCCCTGTCTCCAGTGGTCCCCCCTTATGTTGCCCCTCCTCCCCATTGCTAACCCCCTGGCTGCCCCAGTACAGCACGCACCATGTCCTGCAGGCAGATGATGTGACCTCCCCAGGGGCATAGACCGCCCCGTTGAGCATGCAGGGGCACTGGGTGACCGGCACACAGGTCTGGTTTTTGGAGAAGTCATCAAGGACCATCCCTGCAGGAGAGGGGTTTCCTGGGGCTGTGTGGTGCCAACACCCTCCCACTGACAGGGCCCCCTCGCCAGCCACCCAGTCCTCCAGGGCCGCTTGGGGCAGTCCTGATCCCTCCCTTCCCCTCCCCCACTGAGCCCCGTGACCTCACGCTGCAGCCGCCACCTGCATCCTCGGCTGCCTTGGGCACGTTTGGGGCACCCTCCCCCCACGTGCCCAGACCCAGGATATGGCTCCTTGGTGAGCACCTGCGCCCAGACTGTCTCCTGGGTTCTCTCAAACCCCACCTCCTCCTCAGCCCATGGGCACAGAGCCACATGGCAGGGCACGGGGAGGAGGGGCTGGGGTTGCCTGCCGTTCCCTCCTCCTGGCTCATCTGTGGGGTTTGGGGAGCTGAGACCCTCACCTTCGGGGCAGAAGCAGCCAAAGGTGCAGAAGCCTTGGCAGCTATGCCCTGGGTTGGAGCAGGTCCTGACGCAGGCCGAGCCACACTCTTTGTACACCTGGTTGGCCGGGCACTGCCCCACAGCTGCAGGCACACAGAGGAGGGGCATGGGGTGTGAGAGGAGCAGGGGTGTCCGCAGCCACCCAGGCCCAGGAGGGGGCCTGGCTCTGTCCCTGAGACACGGCCGCACAGCCAGGACGAGCTGTGGGGGTGCGCAGGCCGGGAGACCCGAATCTTGGGGCCCTCAGCCCCCTCTGTCCCGGGACTCACAGCAGAGGCCCGGAGCCCGCCAGTTGCTGACCGCCTGGCCGGCCATGCTGCACTGGCGGGAGAACTCCGAGAGCGTGGCACAGCTGCAGTTTCCCGGGCCCGGCTGGGCGCACATCTTCATGTCCGCCTGGCAGCTCTGCATGAACGGCTCCCGGGCCACGCTGCACTCGGGGGACACCAGGCTCAGCAGCTGGGCGCAGGTCTGGGCCTGGGCAGAGGGCCGCTCGGCGTCACCAGGGAGGCCCGTTCACCCACTCTGGGGGTGGGTCTGGAACGGGCTTCCGGGGGACCCCGCCGTCCCCTCCACGTACATGCTCTTCCTGTGGGCTGCTAGGCTGGGGGATTGCTTCGTAGGCACAGATCTCGTTGGGGTCGTCAAGTTTCTGGAGGGCAGCATACTTGTAGGGTTCCAGGAGGTTGCCTGGGGGCGTGGAATGGGGTCAGCACCGCGGGGTCCTAGGGACCAAGCCCTCCCTCCCCGCCCGCGCTGCCCGCCCCGCCTACCGTCCTTGCTCAGGAACTCGTTGGCCGCCTCGCCGTCGAAGTTTCCGCATAGCCCGCACATCTGGCCCATGTACTTCTTCTCCACCAGGACCTGTGGGCGGCCGGGCACTGCTGGGCCGTCGCTGCACCGCCCGCGGGGAGGCGGGGCGCGGCGGGGAGGGGCGTGGCTGGGGAGGGGCGCAGCGCCTGGATTCCCCTCTCACGTGGAGCCCTCCGTGGTGCCGCTCCATCACTCGTCCGACACCCCTTCTGCTTGCTGAGTCGTCCTCATTTTCCAGGTGGGGAAACTGAGCCGCCAACAATGCCCAGACGGCCCAGTTCCTGGCCAGGGGTCAGCAGGAAGGGCCTGGCCACGTTGCAGGTCAAGCCCCGCGGAACTCCTGCCGCGTGCGCACCCACTCCTGAACGGCACCCCTACCCCACCTCCGCCCAGCACCCTTGCCGTCCTCACCATGACGTAGCTGTCCGGTCCCCACAGCACCTCCAGCTCCAGCTCCAGCTGCTTGGCCACCAGCCGCACGTTCTGGCCGAAGGGCGTGATCTGGAGCCCATTGCTTGTGTAGGGCAGGCTGACCACCCTAGGAGAGAGCGCCTCAGCCTGGCTGCCCGGCCCTACCGCCCCGCCGCGCCCCGCTCAGCCGCAGCCAGCCCTGGACACCGCCCGAGGCCCCGCGCCTCCGGCGGCGTGCAGACCCTACCCCACGTCCTTGACAGAGACTGCGCCGTTCTGCACGGTGACCACGGAGGAGCCCAGCTCCACGATGATGCGGGTGGTCCTGCCGTCGGGCCCACGCCGGAGCTGGACGCTGAATGTGGGCGATGGGTCCTCGCAGATGGCAGCAAAGACGTAGTTGCACGTCCCCGAGAAGTCATACATGTGGTGGTCGAAGGTGGAGAAGTGGCCGGCCCCCCACGTGGAGCACCAACCCCTCTGCTCATCTGTGGAGAGAGTGTTGGGTCACTTAGCCCCCTCCCTGCTGGCCAGGCAACTGTGCTGGGGACCCCACGCTAGACAGAGAAGTGGTCTTCCCCCTGGGGTGATGTGGGGCCTGCCCCCACACACACCCTGCTCTGGGCTGGGGTCTGCCTCTCACCTGTCTCATAGGGGCCGAGATCACTCTTGTCGTTGGGGTCGGGGGTGTTATCAGCCCCGGAATCTGTAAGACACGGAGCTACAATTCAGCCCACAGGCTGCGGCCAGCAGGGGTGTCGCCAGGCCCAAGCACACAGCACCCGCCCCCAACCCCCACCCCAGGCTCAGGACCTGAGGCTCGTCTGTGGCTGGACCCTCCTGTGGAGACCCCAGACCAAGAACACCGGGTGAACCTGGGATCTGCAGGTGGGAGCGCGCCCAGGCTTTGGGGCCCTCCCCCACGCCTGTGGGTCCCAAACGGGCACTGTGGGCCGGATGGGGCAGCCACGACTGCCTAACCTGCCAATGAGGGCTCCTTCGGCCCCCGGAGGCCTGGGTCGACAAAGGAGGTGTCACTCAGGCCTGTGTGGGTGGGACCTGGCCAGTGCCAAGAGGTCTCCCCACCTCTGCGGGTCTGCACAGCACCTGGCTGGCTGCCCCTGCTGTGACCTGGACATGGGTTCCCTTGTGTTCAGTGTGGGTGCTTGGGCGAGTGAACAGTGGGGCTTCACGGGCCTGGTCCTTGCTCTCGTTCACTCACTCATTCATTTGTTCAGCACATCTGCACGGAGCAGCTGCTCCGTACACGGGCCGGTGCTGGGGATGTGGTGGAGAGCAAGGGAACCAAGGTGCCCGCTCCCGTGGGGCCAGTTCGAGGTGCACGTGCAAGCATGCACACACGTGGGAACACATGCACACAACTGTGCAAACATGCATGTGCAAACGTGCACACAGACACAGGCACACGAAGCACATGTGTGGATGCACACGGACAAGTGTGCATGATACACACGTGGACATGTGCACACGGGAGCACATGGACACACAGACAGACACATGCACACATGTGCGAACACGTATGCATTCACGTACACACATATGCACAGGAAGCACACGTGTGGACATACATGGACAAATGCACATGGTACTCAACACATGCGCACGTGTGGACACACCTGGACACACAGACACATGCGATGTGCGCGCACACGGACACACACACTGCAAAGCAGTGAGCAGTGAGGGGTGGGGAGGGCCTTTCTGCCGAGGTGACCCAGGGAAGCCGAAGGGTGAGGAAGCACCCACCCTGGGACACTCCAGGTGGGGTGTCCTGGTCATGCTGAGCTTGTTCCACCCCCCACCCCTCCTCCTGGGCCTGGCTCGCTCCGGGACCCTGTCCAGCTCTCCTCTGCCGCAGGCGTGCCCGTCCCATCCTGTCCCGTCTCTCCTTGGGATCTGTCCCTGCCCTGCTCTGCAAATGACTCGTGTTAGCTGAGGGAGCACCAGGGCCCCCAGCGGCTTCCGTATGCTCGGCTGCACAGGACCCTCATGCACCATCGTCCTGCTGCCCCCTTTCCCTTGCAGCCCCACTGTCAGCCCCAGGGACTGTGGTGACCGTTGCCACAAACTGCTCTTATAACATTGGTCACACTGCCTGTGGTGGCAGGAATCGCGGGTGCCCAGCTTGGCTGTCTCAGGGAAGCCTGGTGGGGTGGCCCACGGCCCCATGTCAGCCTTCCCCTGCCGCCCGGGCGAGGACGGCCTTCCAGAAGGGCCTTGCTCTCCCTTTCTTCTGGAACAGCGTGTGCTGGGGGTGCTGACGTCCCACCCCTGCTTCCCCAAGTCCTCGTCTGGTTGCCCAGCTGGCTGATCCATCCCTGCTTCATCCTGCGGCCATGGCCAGGTTGGGGTCCCTCTGCACTCCCTCACTTCTCCAAAGGAGGCCTTTCATGTGGACTGCACCCCCTGCCCCTGGGCCTCCTGTGGGATCAGGTCGAGGTCTGAGCACTGGGTGAGCAGAGTCTCATGCCTCTTCAGCCCCTCAGGCCTTTTCTCTGGCAGGAGCTCCGGGTGTTTTGGGTAGCTGAGTTGATTCAAGAAGGCTGGTGGCCTTGGCCAAGTGCAGGCACACACTTTAGCTGTGGTCCCCTTTGGCCCCTGAGATCGTTTTCTGCTCAGCTGCACTTGGATGCTCTGGCTACCCTGGCCCAGCTTACGCTGTCGTTTGCCCCAGACTGTGTGTGTGTGTGTGTGTGTGTGTGTGTGTGTGTGCGTGGCTCCTGCTGCCCTGAGCCGGGCCTGAGGCTGGCGCGTGCTCACCACTCACCTACCTCCCCCAGGGTGTCAGCAGGTGGAGCGGGCCCTGGCCTTTGCTTCTCAGGATGCACCCATGGGCTCAGAAGCATGCCTTGCAGGAGTGTGGCCCCACACCCACCCCCTTGCCTGACCAGGTTGGGGAGGGATGGGAGAGGATGGAGTGGCTTAGGGGGGCAGAGTCTTGTGCTAGTGTCTCCCCTTTCCAAGATCCCTTGTGCCTCAGTTTCCCCACCTTTCATGTGGGACGGTGGCCCTGGCCCTTTCTGTCCCCCCATTCATGCCCTCGTCCTGCCCTCTGTTGCCTCTCCCCAGCCCCCCATGCCTGCAACCTCCATGACCCACAGGCCAAGTGCCACCCTGTCCTCTGAGCTCAGACCAGTACACCCCCAGCGAGTCTTTCCCGGGTCCCCACTCAGAAAGTGGCTCCCCCCTCAACGAGCTCCTCTTTCTCACCACCTCCTCAAGTCCTGCCATCGCTCCGTCCTTCCTGTCCTCCACTCTGTCTCCACTGTCCCATCCAGTCTTGGTCTCTGGCTGTCGGAACAACAACCCCTCACCCCACCCCGCGGCAGCCAGAGGCTCCTCTGCAGTTGCTCCTGGGGAGAACAAGCATCCCCTGCCCTCAGGGGTGCTTCTGTTGCTCTAAGGATGGGGCTCGCCCCCTGCCAGGCTCAGGGCCTGCAGGGCGGGCTGTCCACCAGCCCCAGCCCGCGGGCTGGCCACGGGTGGTTACGCTCTGTTCCTTTTACATGCTTGGCGGACCCCGCCCTGCCCTTCCTGGGTTATCCTGGCTCGGCACCCCCCCACAGCCTGGCCCACTCACAACAGGAGGGCAGGCTGGCTTGTCCCCACCTCCTCTGTCCCTCCGAGCTAGCGATCAGTGTCTTTGCCACAGTGACAATGGGAGCTCAGACCCCCACAGCTCCCAAAGCCCGCCACCCAGCTGTGGGGCCTCAGCCCTCGCTGCTCCTCCCAGCCTACACCCAGCACACGGCTGGCTCCAGGACCCCCTTGCCCTGGCCCCGGGTCTGTGAACCCCCAGGGCTGAGGAGGGGAGCCAGGGAGATGGCTGGAGCACTGTCCCCAGGACCTGGCTCTGTTGAAAGACAGGCCTTGCTTCAGAGCCCTCGGTCACCCCGCCATGGAAAAGCGGTGCCTAGGTTGTGCGGGAGGAGTTTTGTTGGAGAGAAGGGGGCTGGACTCAGCAGGGAGGGCTGGGGTGAGCCCCATGGCCCCCTGGTGGCTTGGCCCCAAACGGGGCGTGCTCCCTCCAGCCATGTCAGCTCCACGGGGCTCCCAGGTCTCCTGGGTCTGAGGCCACCGACCAGGGCGGAAGGCCAAGGATGAGAGAGGGACATGCCCAGGCTGGTGGCACAGCGAGGGAGAGTTGGCCCGTGCAGAGGCCTGAGCACTCAGCAGTCCAGGTAGACCAGATGCTAAGGGCCTGGAGCTTGGTCAGCCGCAAGGGCTTCACCGAGACCCCTCGGGCCGGCTGGCCACCCAGCGCCCAGGTGGGGAGGGTATGGGGCAAGCCACCTCAGGGGGCACTAGGATCCATGTCTGGGGTAGGGGCAGTGGGCTCCGGGAACATGGCAGGGGTAGTCCAGCTGCCCCTGAGCTCAGCGTGGAGGACAGTGGTGCTGTGCTGGGCCTGAGCTGACAGGAGCCCACATGCCTCCCCTACATCCTCACGGCTGCCACGTGGGGGGTGATTGCATCTCCCCACTTTACAGACAGGGAAACTGAGGTCTGCTTTGTGGCTGGCCCCACTTGCACCTCTGCCCAGGTCATCTGGGTCCAGGCCCACCGGGCTGCCTACCCAGGGTTGGAGGGGCCAAGTCCTGAGCCCCTGTGACCCACACACCCCCTCCCCTGGCCTCCTCTTGGGACCCCCGCAGACCTCTGTGGACCCTGGGCCGAAGCTGAAAGTGCCAGGGCTGCATGCTGGCCTGCGGCCACCAGGCTGTCCCACCCCCCAGGACCCCCAGTCTCTACTGTGCTCATCTACTATTAAAGAGACTGCCAGAGGCTAGACAGCTCCTCCACCAGCTCCTGCTGAGCCTCCTTCCTCCCTGGCCATTGCGCCCGCCTCGCCGGGAGGTGGACAGAGAGAACAGGTGTTGCCGCCCAGCTGGGATGCCTGGGTCCCCAGGCCCCTGTGGTCTGGTGTGGAGTGAGAGGGGTCTTCCTGGCCTGGCCCCCACCTCCTGCCTGCCATTTGTCCACGTCCACACGGGCTGTCACCTCCGCCGTGTTGGCCTGGGAGGCTCCCACAGCCCAGGCGGGTGCCGGCCCCCCTGCGAGGGCCCCTGGTCTCAGCCCGGCCCACTCACCGGCGTGGAGCAGGGCTCCCCCGCAGGACAGCAGAAGCAGCAGCTGAAGTCGGAGCATGATGCTGCCGCTGTCAAGAGAGGTCACCGCCGGACCACCCTCCGCCACCGGGCACCGGGCAGTCTCGCTGCTGCCACCTTTGGAACTCAAGCGGCCAGCCGGGACGGGTGCCTTATATAGGATATGGCCCTGCCCCTGCCGCGCCCACCGTGACCCACACCCGCAGCCCCGTAACTGCCGCAGCTGGCTGGCACAGCGGTGGCCAGACAGGATCCTGGAAGCTTTATCAGGACATGGTGCTGCAGCCTTGCTGGAAAGTCCTGGGCGGGAGGGCCCCATTATCGCTGTCTCCCGCTGGGGGCTGGCACACCCCTGCAGAGCCCTCAAACACCTCCTGTGTTTGCACCGTGAGACCGGGTGCAATTGCCCAAGGCATCCTGGGGGGCCACCTGCCCAGGCCAGCATAGGCACCTTCAGCCACCAATGGGCACCTGGATGGGGCTGCCCGAGGGGTCCGGGGAGAGGCCTGGGACCCCTGAGCATTGTCAGGCTTCAGTACTGTGACAACTCCTGGGGGGCACTGCCCCCACGGGGGTCCCAGGGCCCCCCAAAGGCTCCAGCTCACCATGCCCCCCCTACCCCAAGTCATCTGCCTGGGAGGAAAGACCCGCCTGTGAGAAGGCCCCCTTCCGAGGGGCTGGGCAGGAGCAGGTGGGCATGGGGCAAGGCAGTCCAGAGCCCTTGGGCAGACGCCTGGCTGCAGATGCTGCAGACAGTTGCCCTGCCCGCCCGCTGTGAGGGCGGCCCTGAGGTACTGCTTTTGTCCCCACAGAGTTCCAAGCTGCCTGTCGGATGCTCACCCTGAACACAGGGCTTCAGGTCCCTGGCAGGTGGGGGGCCGTTGGGCACTGCTTGTCATGGGGGGCCCTCCGTGTGGTTGTGTGCCAGCCTTAGGTGCCTGGGTGGGTGTCAGTGGCCCCAGGTTGCACCCCCTGCCCTGGTCAGAGGAACAGGGCTGCCACCTTGCATCACTGGGGGAGAACTCGCCTCCTGTGGGCATCTGGGGGGCAGGGGGCAGGCCGCCCAGCCCAGCAGCTCCCGCCCCTCCTTGTCCATGGGTGGAACACCTGGGGCCATGAGAGGGTTAGAGCCAGGGTCAGGGCTAGGATGAAGGGGAGGGCAAGGGCAAGGGTCACGATCAGGGTCAGGGTCAGGCCTTCCCCCTCCCTGCCCTGCCTGGGGTCCCCAGTGTGGGTGGAGACCTGGGCCCCAGGAGCCCCAGCTGGGGCTGGCTGGGTGAACCTGCCCCTCACAGGTTGGGCAGAAGACGAAGAGGCCAACCTAGCTCAGGGCAGACACAGGAGGCCCCATTTGCTGACCACTGGGCGCCCGGCGGAGTGTTCTTCACCCTGGTCCACCGCCTGCAGCCATTATAGTGAGGATGGGTGATGAGGGTCAGGGCAGGGTGAGAGGTGGGTGAGGACACTGGGACTCAGGGCCAAGGACGATTGGGGGCGCCACGCATGGGCTCTGGGACACAGGGTGGCTGGTGTGGCAAAGAACCTAGCCCTGTGCCTACCCCCCACAAACCAGCCCAGGCCCAGGGCTGCCATGGCAGTGGGGTAGTGACCCCCTCCAGCCCTCATCTCGACAGACAGGTTCCTTCCCCACGTCATCCCTGCTCGACGCCTGCCTTCTACCTTCTGCGGGTTCTGACCGCATGGATGAATGGACGGACAGACAGAAAGAGACTGTAGGTGCCCAGGAACCGCAAGTGGTCTGCCCCCGCCCTGCAGGAGAGCCAATCTCGGTCTGGAGCGGAGGCCCCACACCTGGCTCGGTACTGTCCCCTTCTGCCCCTCCACCTTGCACACCCTGGGGAGACCCCCCCGGCACAGGGCAAGCAGGCGTCTTAAAAGGACGTGGCACTCTCTCACTGCTCCTCAAGAACTGAGTTTATTAGGAAATTGTTTTAAATTGAGAGAAATTAACTAAGCTGCTGTGAGGAGATTGCCCCACGAGCTGACCCTGGGGGCATCCTTGCAGGTGGGATAGGGAACGCCCTGGAATGTTCCGGTTGCATTAGATGTTCATCCTCAGTCATTGGCCCCTCGGTATAAGCGGAGAAACCGAGTTCCAGGGGGATGCAGGACCCTCGCCCAGGGCAGGCTGAGAGGCTGGGGCAGAGGAGGAACCGAGGGACATCGGTGTGGATGAGGGCATCCGGCTGCTCCGACAGGCTGGTCCAACCCTCTGTCCAGGCTCCTCCGTGGGGGATCCCCATGCCCTCGAGGGCCCCGTTCTTACACGGTTCCTTGGAGCTCGTGATGTGAAGGCAGGGTTGGGAGTATTGGCTGCTGGACTGGAGGAAAGTCCCTGTGGTGTCTGGGGGACAAGTGGACAAGCCCTCCCTGGGGCCCCAGCCCCTGCCTGCATGGGGTGGCAACATTATCAGCCTGCAGGATAAGCAGGGTGAGGAGAGGACCAGGGCACATACTCGGTGGAAAAACACACTTGACTGCCAGCCGGTGGTGGCTGCTCTGAGGGGCCAGCTTGGGCCGTCTCCTGCCAGATAAAGCCACCTTGGGGCGGGGTGCAACCTGGGCTGGGGGGCAGGGGTGGGGGTGAGGACAGGCTGCCCCATGGAGCTGTGCTCCAGGTGGGGCCAGGGGCCGAGGAGGGAGTCCATTCCCCTGGGGTTGCCACTGCTGAGCTGGGCTGGAACTGAGCCCCCAAACTCTGTATTCTCTCCCTGCCCACATTCCGTTCATCAGCCAGAACCTCTGGAATCACCCCTGCATACGGCCTGCCTGGGCCCCTGCAGCCCCCGGGGGTCTACCTGCTGCTCGAGGCAACACCCATCATAGCCACCTGCCCTGGGACAATCACCTCTCCCTCGCTCATCCAGCCGCACGGGTTGACTGCCACCCCCAATAGCGTGCTGACCACAGGACCTCGGCACGGGCTGCTCTTTGTGTCCCCAACACAGTGCCTGGATATTCATCAGGCCCCCTCCCTCCCTTCCTGCCCCCCATCTCCTCCACACATAACTTCTATAAGCCCCATGTGTTGGGGTGGTGCCCGTCTCCCTGACAGTCACACAGCCCCCACCAGCACAGGGCCTTGTTCTCCTCTGTGTCTCC